GAAGCAGGTAAGTAAACCTAAGTATCATGTAGTTCAGATAAGAAAACAAATTGATATGTAGGAGCCAACTGACTTTTATCATTTCAACAGTCTTAAGAGTGCAAGTTAGTGATATAGTTGTCTCTCCTATTGTCACTAGGAATTCTAAGTCAATTCTGTAGGTCCCCAGTGACTTACTAGGAATGCCTCACTTCCCCTTCCTCCAGCTGAGCAGAACGTCAGTACCTCAGGTACCAGTACCATGAGTGCCATCTTTTCTCAACCTTTGAACACTGTACAGAAATACACACAGGCAGAATGGAACTCAGTAAGGATTTTCTTAGTTGCCAAACTGCAAGATGGCAAATAATTTAAAAAGTATTTGTCACCTAGCTTATCACTACCCTACCCTCCAGGCAGGTGTCCATTTTCAGCTGGTGAAAGCAGGTTGAAAACCCTTTGGCTGTTCTTTTATTCTTACAGATGTGCTGCACCTCCCCTAGGGAAACACAAAAAGGACACAGCCACTTTTTAGGTTCTCCAGGCGTTTTTCTGCTGCTAACCTATGTACTGTTGTTCTCACTGGAATATTCTTTGCTCTCTGAATGATGTAAAAAGCAATCAGTGAATGAAAGGCCAACAAATTAAAATACCATGGTTTTCATCACCATGCCAATAAAATACCATGGTTTTCATAATACAAATCCAAAACAGTATTGCTCTTTCAGTAGCCTCAAAGTAATTCTAAATTTGAGATGCTTTCAAATTACATACATTTTAATCCCTCTTCCTGGGATTTCTATGTAACCAATAAAAAGTAAAGCACAAAATACTAAAATGATTATATTTCCTAATTTCATTTGCATTGTTTTTTCACTTATGTATTTGATACAGGGTCTCACTACGCAACTTGGACTCATAGTGATCCTTCTGTTTTCAGCCTCCCCAACTCAGGGCACCCAGGGGCAGGGCCTGCGCAGCATACAGGACCAGGGATCAAACCCTGATTTCTGCACTTGCCAAAGCAGATGCTTAGTCCACTGAGCTATCTTACTGGCCCTCTTCTTTCTAATACATATATATGGCTTCTGTTTTGTTTGTTGTGCTGGTTTTAATGAGACACCAAAAATACTATATAAGGATCATTTATCAATACCAGTATTGTTTGTAACATGCCACCAGAAGGCATTAGCCTAAGACTTAATGCCAAAAGCATACCAGCCTTTCCTCTTTCACATTTAAAGCATTTCACTTAATTCCCAGATTATCTGTACAGTGTGTTTATAAAATGGAGTCTGCTGTAAAAGTAACAGGTTCAAACTCCATGCTTTTATGATAGCTGGCTTTGATGAGGATTTTAAACATAGGTACATAGTCCATACATCAAAGAACTGATTATGTAATACTGAATTTTCCATTTTTTATAATCATTTTACTGTGTATCCAACAGATCTTAAAATTCATGTGAAATAGTGTTACTAATTTTAATTATAGTTGAAAGCAGCAGAACTATATCTATAATCATACCATGTGTAACTAATTATTTAAGAGTTGATCCCTGGCACTAAAATAAGTAAGTTGAAAGTAGTTCAAGTTTTTATTACTATTTTACTTCCATAGAACTGAAGGAATCTTTTTTTTTTTTTTTTTTTAATGTATTTTGTGTAGGGTCTCACTACACAGCTCAGACTTGCATTGATCCTCCTGTTTAAAGGCCTCCCAGGGAGTGTAGACTGGTGCAACCGTTATGGAAATCAGTATGGAGACTCCTTAGAAAAGTTGGTCTGGAAATCCCCTTTAAACCAGCTATTCC